TCTAGTACACTAAACCCCATCCGAGTGAGGGTCTAGTACACTAACCCCCATCCGAGTGAGGTTCTAGTACACTAACCCGCATCTGAGTGAGTTTCTAGTACATTAAACCCCATCCAAGTGAGGGTCTAGTACACTAACCCCCATCCGAGTGAGGGTCTTTTACACTAACCCCCATCCAAGTGAGGTTCTAGCGCTCTAACCCCCATCCAAGTGAGGGTCTAGTACACAAACCCCCATCCGAGTGAGGTTCTAGTACACTAACCCGTATCCGAGTGAGGTTCTAGTACACTAAACCCCACCTTAGTGAGGGTTTAGTACACTAACCCTCATCCGAGTGAGGGTCTATTACATTAACCCCCATCCGAGTGAGGGTCTAGTACTCTAACCCCCATCCGAGTGAGGGTCTAGTACGCTCAGTAATCCCCATCCAAGTGAGGGTCTAGTACGCTCACTAACCTCCATCTGAGTGAGGGTCTAGTACCCTCACTAACCCCCATCTGAGTGAGGGTCTAGTACGCTCAGTAATCCCCATCCAAGTGAGGGTCTAGTACGCTCACTAACCGCCATCCAAGTGAGGGTGTAGTACGCTCACTGACCCCCATCCGAGTGAGGGCATGATAGTGTAACTCGGTCAAGTGGTCAAAGCTTCCATACCTTGTGAATGTTGGCATGAAGTTATTCTTAGTCATGAAGCAGGATGAATATTTTGCATGTCCACTCTCACATTGCAAGGTGACTGGGCAGATTCCATAACAAAATGGTTTTGATGAATCAATTGTAAATTAAGAGACTGAAGACTATTCTGCTACTTGCAATGAATGAAGAGAAAGACCAGCACTAAGCAGATAAATAATCTCTGTTGAGAGAGAGACTTTTTATCATTGAGCTCCCTGAACCTTGGCCCGTATGCAGAGAAATATATTGAAAAATAGGTGTCATCCCTTCAGCCTTACACTGTTGAGGAGCTACAACAATCACCTTTGTTTGTCATGGAGATATTGCCACCAGCGTTTCGTTGCCAGAGAGATATTGCTTGGGAGAGACCACATCAGCTGCTGGTTGCTAGGGAAGTACCATCATCGGTCTTTATGACAAAGTCAAAATGTGATGTCTGAGAAATCAGGAACACAAGCTTTGTATTGAATTCATTTCGTTATCATTAGAGTCCAGGATTGTCCTTAATTTGCAAAGAGTGTCAAGTCCAACTTCCACATCGTTGTTAAAAAAAAGACTGATTTGTTTTCATAAAGCTCCTTCAATGGCATGATGACATTCTGAATTATTTTACAGCCAACAAAGTACTTTTGAAGTGCAGTCACTGCAGGAAAATTGGCAGACCAGTTTGTACACAGCAAGATCCTGCAAACAACAATGTCATAATGACCAGAAAATCAGTTTTGGTGGTGGTCATTGAGGGGTGTACGTCTGGGAATTTGCTAGCATTAGATGACAAAAGCCCTTCCATTATTGATAGCCTGTCTCTTTTGGAGTGAAATTGCAATTGATATATATATATTATACATATTATATATATATATATATATATAAAAATAGAAAAATCCAAAAACAAGCTCATACCAGGACTACTACAGGAAAGTTTGTGTTTCAAATGCAGGATGAATCAGAATCAGGAAGCTTTAATGGAAGAAATTAGGGAGTCTCTGGATTGAGGGTCTTCTATGCCAGGCTTGTACCACATGAGGGCTTGGGGTTTAGTCCAACTTTTATAGGTTTACAGCCAAAACAAATTATAATTTCAGAATTATTTTGGGATCCTAAGTTCTGATGAAGCAATTGTCTAATGTCAATTTGTATGCATATATGTCGTTGTATGTTATAGAGGTGGAAACAGCAAGTTGCAAAATAACATAGACTAATTGACTGGGTAAAAGTGAAAGATGGACTTTAATGTGGAGAAGAGATGGAGGGTTCATTGAATTCGAATTGTAGAAAGACAAATTGGAATATCATCTCATTGATGAGAGTCTAGGAACCGTGGACAAGTAGATTGATTTATGAGTCCAGGTCCATAAGGCATTGAAAGCTGGTAGCAAGGGTACAAAACCAATCAAGAAGACCAAGATAAAATTGGCCGTGAAATCAAGGAGGCTGGACTTGAAAATGCAGCACACAATCCTTCAATTGTACTTACATATGGGGGAATATTGTCATGATGGTAATGTCACTGGGCAAATAATCCAAAGGCCCAGGCTAATACTCTGGGAACATGGGTTTAATTTCCCTCACATACAGCCAATAGAATTAATTAGTGAAAATTGGGAATTGAAAGCTCAGCTCAGTAATGGAGACCATGACAATTATCATTACTTGTAAAAGCCTATGTGATTCACTCAGGAATAGGAAGTCTGCTGTCCTTACTTAGCTGATCTGGCCTGCATTTGACTTGGATGTGGTAGATTCTGAACTGTCCTGGCAAGCCATTCAGTTCAAGGACAAATAGGTATGACCAACAGAGTGATGTCAGTGAACATACATCCAATGAAGATTGAAAATAGTGCCTTGGTCAGATCAGTGTTACATCCTGCTTTGGGAAATGCATTTTAGGAAAGATATTTTCCCTTGGGTGGGGAATAGCACAAATTCACCAAAATGATACCTAGTTTAAAGGGCTAAATTAAGGGACAGGATGCGTACAGATGAATTCAGTGTGTTGGAGGGGGGAGTCATCTAGTTATGGTGTTGAAAATGCCATGGGAGGGGAGATAAAGTGAAGTAATTAACTTCATCTGGAAACCAGGGTAAGAGGCCATAATCTAAATATTAGAATTATATCCTCCTGAAGTGAAGGCAGGAAACACTTTTGCACACAAAAGGTAATGGAAATCCTTTCCCCAATGGTGGGACAATTAAAATTTCCACATGTGATAATGGTAGATTTTTATAGTCAAAATATTTAAAGGATATGCTGTAATGACAGGTGAATGGGGTTGGGATGGCAACAAGCTATCACCTAATAAATGTGAAAACGGGGTGGCAGAGCTGAATGGCCTACTCCTGCTCCGATGTTTCTTTGCCAGAAGGAACTGATGTCAGGAAGTAGGATCATGGCCTTCAGTGTTTGGGTATTAACCTGAAAACACTTCCCAAACATGCACACTCTGCACAGGCAGTGACATTCAAACTAGCCTGTAGATGCTCAAACCAACCATGCTCAAACATTATGACACACATTTGGAACAGTGTGGGACTTGAACATGGACCTCCTGGTTCAGAGGTAGGGACACTACCACTGCACTACAACTCTTAAACAAGCCTGTACCATGGGTCCTCTTGGCTGCCTCCTACGGAAGGCTTCAATTGCTATCTGAATCAGCCAGTGGTGAGGGATTTAACTCACAGCAAGGGAACTAACCCCAGGTTATTGCAGCCAGGCCCTATTATTTGTTTTAGTAACATAAGGTACAGTCCTGTCCAGTAAAAGTCTGATAATGGTTCTGGACCATTATACCAACCCCATCAATAACTCACAGCAAGTTACATTCCACAAATGCATGCCCCATGACTGTTGGGGAGAATGTTGGGCTGACTTCTGAGTATGATTTGTAAGATTGAACACCAGTTTGCCGATGCAGAATGGGTAATGGCTACTCTGACCGAGATACAGCCAAGTAAGTTGCTGCTATTGTAAACTGAAATGAGACGGATGGGGAGAGGCCTGCTGTCACTCAGCTGATACTTGCAGGGTACAAACAGTGGCACATAGGAGGGGTGAGGAGAAAGCCAATGAGTTGAGAGTGGGTGCAGGACTTTGTGAAGGACACAGAACCTGCCCAGGTACACAAAATATACCCAGAGATGGACAGAATGCACACAGGGAACATTTCCAGAGGTCTGTCGACAAAAA